TTTTTTGAGACGATGCTCCAATCTATTCGTTGGGAGCAACATGGCTGGGAACCGGGCCCAGTGTCCCTTATCAGAACACAAAAATGAGCTACCGGGGCCATTACCCGGCTTCGGCTAAGAACAATTGAAGAAAAAGAAAAACTCAGAAACATTCAGAAGATGTGTGTCAACAAGCCTCCCAACCACGAATCAGATAGGTGAAACCTATTCAATCCACCTTCGACCACCACCAGCATGGCTGTTTTCAGCACGAACTGAAGCTCTTCCAGGCCTCATGCTCGCATCAGGCTAGGTTACAGAGTTGCACCACCTTGCTCTCCAGCACCGGCCAGCATTGCTTCAATTACGACCCCCCAATGACCACTGAGACTGCCCCTGCAAACAGCCCCCCAGATCTCTCTACCAGGCCTCACGCCCCCACTAAGCTAGGTCATAGAGAGCGGGCTTACATAGGGCCCATTGTAGACTTCTGTTTGGCCCGTTTGCCCCTGCAACGGGGAGCCCATTTTGCCCAGACGAATGGGTTGTAAACAGGAGGGGTGTTCGGGCACTTGTGTGTGACCTGGACTCTCAGGCCAGTGGTGGAGTGCCTTTAGAAGGATGCCACACTTTTTCACACCCTCTCTGCTGGACCATAGATATAATTTTGATCCCTGGAATCCGGGATAGAGGCCGTGGATAGGGGTACCTTAAAGGGAGGCCCAGTAGTGCTATATCTCGAGGTAGAGGCTGATGGGCGCACGGATGCCATTCATTCTTGTTGGAAGTATTCCACTAGACCACTGTCACTCACATAGAGGCTGGCCCAGAGGAGTAGAGTTATTTGAGAGGTCGAGGAGTGATGCATGCATCCAGACATCTCTGGCTGAGAAGGTAGGGCGTGACAGTATTAGCACCTACCGTAGATGCGAGATTTGCGGCTGGCAGGAGGGCCTAAGCCAAGATTCGGGGTGTGGTGGTCCAGGCTGTAGGGAGCCAGGTAGCCTGTTCTTTTTTTGTTGATGGCAGGATTGTATCCCATTGCGCTCACCTGCAGGGATGTGGCTTGTGAGAGATTCATTCACACAACGTCAAAACTCCGTTGCTAAGCTGTTTGCAGCAGGGAACTCTAGCTGCTGCAGGTTTTCATCGCTGCTCTGGTCAGTAACGGGAGTGGTTTATCTAGAAGAGGTGGGAGAGTTCCCCCTCCTCTTCATTTTCTGTCATCCTTGATCGTTTTGTCTCATTAGCACTTCGACAATGGGACAAAAAACTATCTTCTTCCCCCGAATACAACGTACGGTCATTATAGCTGTATCTAGACTGAAAGATGTCTCAATAACTGTCTCAGACCCAGGGTCGTCTGACATGTAGGAGTCAATCACCCTCAAGAAGATACCGTGCAAGAAGATGTGCGATCCTCCTCAATGTCGCCCTCCGACGTCTCCGCTCGTTGGTCTCCAGCGCTCCCGTCACTGTCCACAAACTCAATCTCTGTGAGTGTCCCAGTCGAAATAATCGCCAAGATCAACGTCACTCACAGAGCAAGGCTCCAAGTTCGACTCGTCCGTCTCTGATCTCTGGATGCATGTAGTGATTGGGACCCCGGATCTGGCTATCTCTCTCCTAATCCGGTCGTCCTTCCGCCTCTTGTCGTTGCTGCGAGACTCACTAAGGGGCTTGGGGTTGCATCCATCAAAATCGAAGAGCACACCCCCAGGAGCCGAAGGTACTCGGGGAAACACCAAGTGCAGCCAGTTGTCCCTCCAATAGCTCTCCCTGCGAAATATGTAATCAGCAATCCTGTCGTACGTGGTGCCTTTCACCCCCGTCTCTGCCCCCTTCACCGAGTAGGTGATCACGAGCGTGTGTCTCGAGGCCGAGGACTCATTA